TGAGACAGGGTACTGCTACATTGCTGATGCCAGCCTCAAACTCACTATCTTTCTGCTCAGCTCCCCAGTTGCTGGGATTACAGGCGTGTGCATCATCATGCCTGGCCTGGTGATGGATTTTACCCCCTAACCATTAGGTTGACAAGTAACATTGAGTTATGAATTATAAAATGTATATAGGAAAATATATAAATCATGGATATTCAGTTTAAGGTGGTCCAGGGTCTCTTAGGATAGGCTTCTGCACAACATTCTGTTTGGGACTTAATGCTAGCTACGTTGTTTCACCTATGAGTACAATCACTTAAAACCATGTAAAACTTTGTAGTGTTTATTACCTGTCAATGGCTTTGGATTCCACAGACAAAAACTATGTGGATCAAGGTATATGTTGTGGAAGAGATTCAGTGTTCTTACTGCCCCTTCAGGTCCTTTATATCCTTCCAGAAAGATAAATATATGCAGGTAGGAGGAGCAAGGCCTGTTTCAAAGGGAGTAAAATCAGGCAGGGTTCTACAACCCCTCTTTTGTAATGTAGACCTGAAAATTTCAGTGCTGCTTTTGGTTACTGGGCAAATCTGGCTAATTATTCTGGAAAAAAACAGCTAATTAGTAATTATGCCAAAACCAAAATTATCTTTTTTTCTATTATAGCAGATGATGTGCTTTGGCATCTAGATGGATCATACCAGCCAATGCCTCTCAACAGGAAAAAAATCTTTCATTATTTGGGGGAACATTTGGTGGTTAATACCCTGACTAGTCCTTTGGGATAATGTTTAGCTAAAATGAAAAATTCACCAGAAACAATATTGAATTAGTTTATAGTAGGTATAGAACTTCAGTGCCTGCAACCCTTTAATCTTGCATCCCACAGTTATCTGTTTCACAACTGGCAGACATAAAAGGGCAAATATTTATGATTCTATCTGTATGAAAGATCTAAACTAGGCAAGGTTACTAGGGACTGGAGGGAGGGAAGTTGTTACTTAATGTGTACAGTTGTTTGGGGTGATGAGAAAGATAGTGGTAATGGTTGTACATTATGAATGTAATGTCATTGTATACTTATATATAAAAAAGTAATTGAAACGGTAAATTTCGTTATATATTTTACAATATTTATTTTTATTTTTGCCACCAGAGATTGAAAGCAGGGGTACTTTACCACCACTGAGCTGCATCTCCAGATCTTTCTTAAATTTTGAGACAGGGTCTCCCTAAGTTGCCTAGGCTGATCTTGAACTTGTAATCCTCCTGCTTCAGCCTCCCCAATCTCTGGGATTATGGGTGGGCACCATTGCACTCTGCTTTTACCAGTTTTTAAAATTCCAGAAATTTATTCTCTCACAGTTATGGAGGCTAGAAGTCTGAAATCAAGGTGTCAGCCAGGTTAGTTTCTTTTTGGAGGCTGAGAGAGAGAATTTGTTGCATGACTCTGAAAAACCAGTCTCTACCTCAGAGCAAAGCCTGTCTGAGGAAGGGGGCGTGGCCTTTGTCCTTGGAAAGACCCACAGAGCACTCCTAGGCATATACCCTTGTTTATCTACAAATAACAGGAGAGATCTGCTGAGCCAGGTGTCCCTGACTCAGTCAGGCTAGGTGGGGACCCATAGCAACCCCCTAGCAGCCACCAATCAGCATGAGACCAGGAAAATACCTGGGATGCCAGATGACCCTCCCAGTAGTTTATGGTGGTTGATAACATGTAGGGAAACCATGTAGTTTAGCACGTACACCCCTTGTGCCTAAACCAATCAGTTCAAATAAATCCCCCTCTTGCTCTAACCAATCACTCCTACCTAACTTGTTCCTGCCATTGAATGTGCTAATCACATTTTAGAGTTGTTGTTTGATTTTCCTGTGACGTGTGATGATTTGCTAAGAGATGCTATAATGTATGTGGGGGTCCCTGCCTTCCCCAAAGAGTGTATAAAACTGCTGGAAACCCTGGGCTCGGGGCCTCTCAGTGTCACCTGTTGCTGTGTGCATGCGGAGGACCGAGCTAGCTCACAATAAACACCTCTTTGCTGCTTACATCAATCTGGGTCTCTGGTGGTCTTTTGGGGGTCCCAAATTCCTAGTTTCTGAAATACCTGCAATCCTTGAAGCTTTTCTGCTTGTACATGCATCACCCCATTCTCTGATACCATCTTTGTATGGCACTCTCCTGTTTGTGTCCCAGTTTTAACATCAATCATGTTGGATTAGTGCCCTCTCTCCCAAATCCAGTATGACCTCATCTTAATTTGATTACATATACAAGAACCCTACCTCCTAACTCCCTTCAGTGAGGTGTTTTAATACGTTTTTAATACAGTTAAATTATTTTGTGATTCTAATACTGTGTGTTAAATGCACCAGTAGAGATACACAATGGGGAGTATTGAGGTGGAACAGTTAATCTACTTGGGGCATGGGGTAGGGATGGAAGGTATCTTAGAGGAACCTCAGGTGAGGCTGGAGCTGTATCTTAAAGTAGCTCTTAAAGTGTGGTCTTTAGACCAGAAGCATTAGCATTAACTGGGAACTTTATAAATAGAAATTCTTGGCGCTTATTAAAGAATCAGAAAATCTGACATTGGGGCCCAGCAATCTGTTTTACAAGACCCTCCAGGAAATTCTGTAGAAAAATGAGAATGACTATTTCTAAAGAGTAAACAGTCCCATGATACTGTTGCTGACTCTTATGTAGACAATGTAGTGAAGAGGAAAAGAGTGAATGTAGGGAGACCAGTGAGCAGGAATTTGCGGTTCCAGGCAGTGGTGGTGAGCTAGAGAGAAAGAGGTTATACATGGGAAATAAAATTAGTAGGACTTGGGACTGCCTGGCCTGGGGAGGGACAGAAAAGAAGAGGAGAGGTCAAAGATAACGCATATTTGGGTTGGGGCTCAGGATGGTCTTCAGATTTCAAGCTTGGGTAGGCAAGTGAAAGGTACTATTTATTACCATACAAATTGGAGAAACATGTATTTAGAGGGGAAATAATGATTTTAAATTGGCATGAATTGAATTTGAGGTTCCTGTGAGACTTTTTAAAATACCTTCACTTTATTTTTGATGTGCTGAGGATAGAACCCAGTCCCTTCCACATGCGAGGCGAGTGTTCTGCCACTGAGCTACAACCTCAGCCCCTCCTGTGAGACTTTTTTTTTTTTTAAAGAGAGACTGAGAGAGGAGAGAGAGATAGAGAGAAAGAATTTTTAATATTTATTTCTTAGTTCTCGGCGGACACAACATCTTTGTTGGTATGTGGTGCTGAGGATCGAACCCGGGCCACACGCACGCCAGGCGAGCGCGCTACCGCTTGAGCCACATCCCCAGCCCGAGACTTTTAAGTAGAGATAACTTGCAGGCAGTTGGGAATATGGTTCTAGACTAGAGCTTGTGCCTAAGCTCTGCCTTGGAGAGTGATATGGGTATCATGAGCATGTATGTGGGAATGGAAACTCTGGGAAATATAAGGGATGGAATATAAGAAGGAAATATAAAAGAGGAAAAGTCCCAGGACTGAGTCCTCTGGGAGGAAGAACAGGAGCCCAAAAGAACATAGGGAAGAAGTAGCCAGCTGGATTAGTCATCTTTTCATTGCTATGACCAAAATACCTGACAAGAACAATTTATAAGCTGGGTGTGGTGGCGCAGGCCTGTAATCCCAGTGACTTCAGAGGCTGAGGCAGGAGGATCATGAGTTCAAAGCCAGCCTCAGCAACTTAGTGAGGCCCTAAGCAACTCAGTTGTCTGTCTGTCTGTCTGTCTGTCTGTCTGTCTGTCTCTCTCTCTCTCTCTCTCTCTCTCTCTCTCTCTATATATATATATATATATATATATATANTAAAGGGCTGGGATGTGGCTCAGTGGTTAAGCACCCTGAGTTCAATCCCTAGTACCAAAACAAAACAAAAAAAAAACAATTTAGAGAAGAAAAAGTTTATTTTGGGTCACAGTTTCAGTAGTACAGTCTATCATTTGTCAACTCCATTGCTCTGGGCCCATGGTGAGGCAGAACATCATGGTGGAAGGGAGTGGCGAAAGAGCATTACTCTACTTATGGTGGTCAGGAAGCAGAGAGAAAGGGGGAAGAGGCCACAGGGAAAATGAACCCTTCCAGGGAGTACCTGTAATGTCCCACTTCCTCTAGCCATGCCTTACTTGTCTATAGTTATCACCTAGTTAGTCCTTTCAAATTATTAATCCATCAAATGGATTAATCCACTAATTAGGTTCCAGTTCTCATAATTATTTTGCTTCCTACTCATACAGGAAACTTTGCAGGACACCTCTTGACTGGTCCAAATCCTGACACCAGTGATGGATGAAGAAAACTATAAGGTTTTCTTGCCCCCCCCCCCAGAGGTTTGCTGCTCTGTAATTCTTATATTGGCAGTTTTTAAAATTCCGTACAATCAATAAACTTTGTGCATTTTATGTTTTCACAACTTGTACCTGAAATTAAGTGTTGCTGGTAATGACAGTGGATTTTTGTTTGTTTTGAGTGATGACAACTTTCTTTTTTCCTTTTTTTGCAGTGCTGGGAATGCAACCCACGGTCTCACACATTTTAGGACAAATGCTCTACCACTGAGTGACATTCCCAGCCCAATAACAGCTTCCATTGGCATCTTCTATGTTAATCTTTCCCATCCTGAATCTCAGATATTAAAAGACCAACTAAAGTTTGGATTCTTAAGTAGACTTGAAAGAGTTTTTAGACTGAATATTCAGTCTTTTCTAATCCTGTTTGTATAATTTTTTAAACCTTTTTTTGTAGATATGTGAAAGAGGCCAAAGAAGCAACTAAAAATGGAGATCTGGAAGAAGCATTTAAGCTTTTCAATTTGGCAAAGGACATTTTTCCCAGTAAAAAGCTGATGAGCAGAATCCAAAAGCTACAGGAAGCCATGGAGGAGTTGGCAGAACAAGAAGATGATGAATTTACAGATGTGTGCAACTCTGGCCTGCTGCTTTATCGAGAGTTGTACAACCAACTCTTTGAGCACCAAAAGGAAGGCATAGCTTTTCTCTATAGCCTATACAGAGAAAAAAGAAAAGGGGGTATCTTGGCAGATGATATGGGATTGGGGAAGACTGTTCAAATTATTGCTTTCCTTTCTGGTATGTTTGATGCTTCACTTGTGAATCATGTGCTATTGATCATGCCAACTAATATCATTAGCACATGGGTAAAAGAATTTGCCAAGTGGGCTCCAGGAATGAGAGTCAAAACTTTTCATGGCCCTAGCAAGGATGTACGCACCAGAAGCCTCAATAGGATTCAGCAAAGGAATGGTGTCATAATCACTACATACCAAATGTTAATCAATAATTGGCAGCAGCTTTCAAGCTTTAATGGCCAAAATTTTGTGTGGGACTATGTCATCCTTGATGAAGCACATAAAATAAAAAGCTCATCTACTAAATCAGCAATATGTGCTCGTGCTGTCCCTGCACGTAATCGCATCCTCCTCACAGGAACTCCAATCCAGAATAATTTACAAGAACTATGGTCTCTATTTGATTTTGCTTGCCAAGGGTCCCTGCTAGGAACATTAAAAACATTTAAAATGCAGTATGAAAATCCTATTATTCGAGCAAGAGAGAAGGATGCTACCCCAGGAGAGAAAGCCTTGGGATTTAAAATATCTGAAAGCTTAATGGAAATTATAAAACCTTATTTTCTCAGGAGGACTAAAGAAGAAGTACAGAAAAAAAAGTCATGCAACTCAGAAGTCAGACTTATTGAGAAGAATCCAGGTGTTGATGCCGTCTGTGAAATGCCTTCCCTTTCCAGGAAAAATGATTTAATCATCTGGATACGTCTTGTACCTTTACAAGAAGAAATATACAGGAAATTTGTGTCTCTAGATCACATCAAGGAGTTGTTGACAGAGACTCGTTCACCTCTGGCTGAGCTAGGTGTCCTGAAAAAGTTATGTGATCATCCTAGGCTTCTGTCTGCACGGGCTCGTTGTTTGCTCAATCTAGGGAATGGCAAATTTTCTGCTCAAGATGGCAATGAGGAAGAGGATTCCTCAGATATGGACAACATTGATCATGTAACTGATGATACATTGAGGCAAGAATCTGGAAAAATGATATTCTTAATGGACCTTCTGAAGAGACTGCGAGATGAAGGACATCAAACTCTGGTATTTTCCCAATTGAGAAAAATTTTAAACATCATTGAACGCCTCTTAAACAATATGCACGTTAAGACATTGCGTATCGATGGCACCATTACTCATCTTTTGGAAAGAGAAAAAAGAATTAACCTGTTCCAGCAAAATAAAGATTACTCTGTTTTTCTGCTTACCACTCAAGTAGGTGGTGTTGGCTTAACATTAACTGCAGCAACTAGAGTGGTCATTTTTGACCCAAGCTGGAACCCTGCAACTGATGCTCAAGCTGTGGATAGAGTTTACCGAATTGGACAAAAAGAAAATGTTGTGGTTTATAGGCTAATCACTTGTGGGACTGTAGAGGAAAAAATATACAGACGACAGGTTTTCAAGGACTCATTAATCAGACAAACAACTGGTGATAAGAAGAACCCATTCCGCTATTTCAGTAAACAAGAATTAAGAGAGCTCTTTACAATTGAGGATTTTCAGAACTCTGCAACCCAGCTGCAGCTTCAGTCTCTGCATGCTGCTCAGAGGAGATCTGATAAGAAACTAGATGAACATATTACCTACCTGCACTCTCTGGGGATAGCTGGAATCTCAGACCATGATTTGATGTACACATGTGATATGTCTGCTAAAGAGGAGGTCAGTGTGATAGAAGAATCTCAGTATATTCAACAAAGAGTTCAGAAAGCCCAATTCCTTGTTGAATTTGAGTCTCAAAATAGGATGGAACAACAAACTGGAAATGAGGGGGCCTGGGAAAGAGCACCTGTGTTTCCTTCTCAAACAAAGAAGAAATGCTCTGAATTGAACAAACCACAGCCTCCGCCTTATCCTCTTCTAACTATTCATCCTACCCAAGAAGAAGATATCAGTTTTCAAATGGCAAATATAAACATTAATGAACAGTCCAAAGAGAGTGACACACAAGAAGATCTTTCCAGTGTACAGATGAACATTAATGAACAGTCCAAAGAGAGTGACACACAAGAAGATCTTTCCAGTGTACAGATGAACATTACCATGCTGCAAGATATTAAGTACCCACATGAAGATACACTGGAGGCTGACTTTGTAGCTACATTACCCAAAGAGATTGGAAGTGTTGAAGGAACTTGTACTGACTCATTATTGGGAACAGCAAAAAACATTGAAACAGAAAATGAGGCTCTGCAAAAAGAGGCATCACAAGAGAGGCCTGAGCAAGAGGCACTGCAAGAGAGCCCCCAGGGAAGTTTTAATTATTTACTTAGCCAACCCATGAAAGCTGATCTTGGGCCAAATCTAGATCTACAGGATGATGAGATTTTACAAGACTCTAATCCCTGGCCCATAACAAGTGAAAATAAAAATACAGAATCGGATGCATCTGTTATTGCACTATCTGATGACTCATTGGCATCCAATAGTGCAGTGCAGGATACTCAAGTAAATGAGGCCAACTCAGAAAGGGAAATTTTAGCATCTTCACAATATATGTGTGATTTCAATCTTTTTCTGGAAGACTCTACAGACAATAGACAAAATCTCTCTAGCCAGTCTTTAGAGCATGCTGAGAATGAAAATAGCTTGTGTGGCTCTGTAGGTAATTCTACAGCAGAGTCTGTGCATAGCAAAACACATCCCAGTTTGGATCTTTCTGATAAGAAAGATGATGAATCAGTAGTAGTAGTTAATGTCAAATCCAGAAGCAAATCTAGAAGGATTGTTTCAGATGATGAGGATGATTTTTTTAAAGGTTCTTCAAACATAAGTCCAATCAACACATCTCCCTTTCAATTCTCATCTGTGAAACAATTTGATGCTTCAACTCCTAAAAATGACACCAGTCTATCTAGAGGGTTCTTTTCACCTAAAATATCCGATGGTATAAATAAGTCTATAAACTCAAGAAAATCCCTGGCTTCTAGGAGGTCTCTGATTAATGTGGTTTTAGACCATGTGGAGGATATGGAGGAAAGATTTGACAACAGCAGTGAAACAGAGGGTGCAGAAGATGATTGGGAAGAAGAAAAAAGCAGTGATGAAGACTCAGAGCATACAGAAGAGGGTCCTTCTAGAGAAATGATGTCTTCAGAAAATAAGTTCAGTGGGCTAACTGTGTCTAAACCACTAGACTCTAGCCTACAGACCTCTGCTGATGTCCCTGAGCCTTTGCCAGGTGCAGTGTTGGTTGATTCGCCCCAGGACAAGTCAGTGGAGGCTGCAGATGACTACGAGACTCTTGTAACTCGTGGAAAAGAACTGAAAGAATGTGGAAAAATACAGGAGGCCCTCAACTGCTTTGTTAAAGCACTTGACATAAAGAGTGCAGATCCTGAAATCATGATGATGACTTTGGGTTTGTATAAGCAACTTAATAGCACTTGAGAGTTCCATAATCTATTTGTTGTATTTTAAAGTGAAAGAGAATATGAGATAATTTTTATTGTTCCATCATTGGGTTCTTTGGGAGCATGAAACATTTATGTTAAGAAAAATCTCAAAAAGCAAATTTTATTTCTACTCCCTGGTTCTTATCTTGCCCCTCATATATAAATTCTGTTTTCTGAGCATGAGGTTAATATTTCCACACTTGAGTATTGTTTTATTTTAGGCATAATCTATTAATTTTACTGTTTGTGTTGTTTACTTTATCAATTAAAACTTTCTAGAGAAGTTTTTATAAAACTATTCTGGCTACTTTATTCTGAAAGGGATCACCTTTGTATATTCAGATAAGAAAATTAAAACGATTTTTCTCAAGTGTTTTCCACTCATTTTCTTTCACTGAGATGATACTGGCAAATGCATATGGGGACTCCTTAGTTTAGCAGGAACCTGTCATTGGCATTCCAACTCTGAGCCATCCCTATTAATATGTTGTTATGTTTTCAACTTAACACAGCAGAAGGTACCTGTGCTGGCATACTTCCTTACTAGTTGCCTGTCCTGGAGTCACTTTGCTGACGATTTACTGGTTCTTCACTCACCATCAATTGTATTCTCCTTTTCTCAAAGGAGAACCAAATACCTGCATGTCTGTTTTGATGTGTGCCATCACAGTCTCTCTTCGGGTTGTAGACTGGAAAGAAGTTCATCTCCCTCTGAGAAACAAAAAGTGCAACATAGTATAGCACTCTACACTGTCACCAGAGAAGGTGGAACTATCATTTATCAAGTACCTACTGAGTATTGGGCACTCTACACAGGCTTCTCATTTAATCCTTACCAAAATCCTCTGAGGTAGAGGGAGTGTAGTACTTAACGTTTTTCAGTTGAGACTTTCTTGAGGCTCAATGGGGCTGTGACCTGTCCACGGTGATACAGTAAGACATAAAATGGATTTTTAACTGGTATTACCAAATGAAAAGTCACTGAGCAGTTTTTGCTCCAGATGCTTCTTACACTACATATGTGGGGGTCTCGCACCAAGCCATTTTCCAGTTCTCTGCAGATAGTAACCAGGGTCCAACAATTCAATTCTAACTTTCCAGAGTTTGCATCAGACTCTGCAGGTTGTAGGACTCACTCAGTCCCACAGGGACTGCCTTAGCTTCACATGGCAGTTGCCAAGTATTCAGTCTTCAGGTTACCCACACTTCTGTCCAACTTGGCTACAAATCAGGGGTTTCTCTGACTCTCCCCCAGTTCAATAATTTGGTAGAACAGCTCACAGAACTCAGGAAAATAGTCTTATTTACTATCACCAGTTTTTTTTAAAATATTTTTTTAGTTGTGTATGGACTCAACACCTTTATTTGTTTTTATGTGGTGCTAGGATCGAACCCAGTGCCTCACACTTGTGAGACAAGTGCTCTACCACTGAGCCACAACTCCAGCCCCTACTATCACCAGTTTATTATAGAGAATATATAATGGAAGAGATGCTTTTGTAGTAAGGTATAGGGGAATGTGCATAGAGCTTCCATGCCCTCTGGACACACTATCCTCCTAATGCTTAGATGTGTTAACTAGAAGCTCTGAACTCCATCATTTAAGGGTTTTATTTTTTTCAGTACTAGGGATTGAACCCAGGGCCTAGTACATGCTAGGCAAGTACTCTGCAGAGCTACATCCCCATACCTTTTTAATTTGAGACATGGAGGCCCTGTGTTGCTGAGGCTGCCCTTTAACTTGTATCCCTCCTACGTTAACTTCCCCAGTCAATGGGAATACAGGTGTCCACTACCACCCCAGTCCTGGAAGTTTCCTAAGAAGGCATGATTGATTACATAATTAGTCACTGATGATTGACTTAATTTTCACCCTTTTCCCTCTACAGTGTTGGGGTTAGGCTGAAAGTCCCAATCATCTAATCAAACCTTGGTCTTCTGGCTACTATCCCCTATTTCTGAAGCTATTTAGGGGCCTCCATCCACCTAGTCATCTTTATATCAGCATACAAAAGACATTGCAATAGAGATTCTAAGAGGTTTAGAAGCTATATGCCAAGAATCAAAAGACTTTTGTTTTTGAGATAAGCCTCATTACATTGTCCAGGTTGGCCTTAAACTCCTGGGCTCAAATGCTCCTCCTCCCTCAGCCTCCCAAGTAGCTGGGACTATACCACCATGCCTAGCTAAAATATTATTTTCTACTATATCACACAAACATATAATTACTTGTAAACTATGTGTATAAACAATATTACAGATATGTTTGAAAGATAAGCTGAATTTTAAATTTATTTTTTTGCATTACTGGGGACTGAACCCAGGGGTACTCTCCCACTGAACCATGTCCCCAGCCCTTTTCATTTTGAGACAGGGTCTTGCTAAGTTGCCCAGGCTGACCTTGAACTTATGATCTTCCTACCTCAGCTTCCCTAGTCACTGGGATTACAGGTGTGCACCACCAGGCCCAGCGTGAGTTTTAAATTTAAACAGGTAATTTATTGATGATATAAAATTTTTATTAAAAGCAATTACTACTAATATATTAGTAATGTGATTGAATGTTATTTTTGAAAATATATATGTATATATATTTTGTATTGGGGATTGAATGGAGGGGTATTTCACCACTCAGCTGTATCCCGAGCACTTTTTAAATTTTTTTTAGTTGTTGATGGACATTTTATTTATTTATATGTGGTGCTAAGAATCAAATTCAGTGCCTCACACATGCCAGGTAAGTGCTCCATCACTGAGCCACAACCCCAGCTGCTATCCCCAGCATTTTTTTTTTCTTTTTTGAGATAGGGTCTCACCAAGTTGTTTAGGTCCTTGCTAAATTGCTGAGGCTGGACTTGAGCTTGTGATACTCTTGCCTCAGCCTCCTGATTTGCTGGGATTATAGGTTTGTGCCACCATTTCTGGCTAATTTTGAAAATATTGATTTAACACTTTGTGAGTCAGCAATTCACAGGCTGCATCTAAGTCCAGATCACTGTTTCCCTGTGCATTTTCCCACCATGATGCAGGTGAAGATCTGCACCTTACATCTTTTTCAATCCATTCATCAAGCATACAAATGTGGAAATTCAGCTCATAAATTCCTCTTTCCTGATGTACAAAACAAATCACCCAGGAGTTTTTACATTCCCTGAAGTAACTGAAGGAGCCTATATCCATTTGATATGAACAATAAAGCTTAAATTTTAGGTGTATTTCTCACTGAAAATGCAAAAAAAAACCCAATTTTGGTACTGTTGGAGATGAACCCATGGTCTTGTGTATGGCTAGGCAAACACGTCCAGCCCATCAAAATGCTCTATTTGTGTACTATGGCAATTTTTGTTTGGGGAAAATACACATGGTAAAATATTCAAAATATCCATGACAGGGATTTTTACCCCAGGAGTTCATGGATAGAATTTAGGTGTCTGAATTTGGGGGAAAAAGTTATCTTTCCCCCACTACTATGTATCTGGAATTTAGCATTTCCTTTTTTTTATGAATGTAGGCAACAAGTATTAGTAATACTTGTGACTTCATCACTAATAGAAATCAAATTGACTTCATAATTGTTGCAGATATGTCAAATAAATATTGATATTTGTTAAGATGAGATTGCAAGTCGATCTTAAAGCACGAGACGGAAACTTTATTCACCAGCCGGTAGTCAAGATCCACCAGCTGGCAGTCCAAAGGGGTAGGCTGCAACTCTACACCCTTTGACCCCCTCCTGGGGATTGAGTACACCTTTTATAGTCCAAAATTAATCATAATAGCTGTTGCTGTGATTCAAAACCATAAACAAACGTCATGAGATCCAAAATCATAAGCAGAAGAGGGGAGTGGGTCAAAATGTCCCTAGTTGAGTACAAGTTAAAGAATGGTTACTAACATCTAGACAATCAATGTCTGACAGGGTATATTGTCCAAAAAATGGGAACCAAAGAGAGAACAATTTTACAATGTATGAGAATTGTCATTTTGTATTGCCAAACATGCTATGCTAAGCAACTATTGATGCGTACAGAGGCAGGACTTTCCCATGGGAGAAGCAGTTTTTACATGAAGTGGAGTCTCAGGGCAAAATGGAGTCTGTTTGGTGATCGCCCATATAGCCTGGCCCATAACATATTTATCACTATAAAATCACTGGTTGGAGCTGGGGATGTTGCTCAGAGTGTGTAGTATGTGTTTAGCATGTGCAGAGGCTCTGAATTTTATCTCTATCACCAAAACAACAACAAAGAAACACAGTAATTTTTAGACTTATCATTAGAAATTGCCTAATAAAAAGGCATAAATACACATATTACAAATTTTATTATTAGTAGTAGTATTGGGTATTGAACCAACAGTTGCTTTATCACTGGGATACATTCCCCAATCCTTTTTTTTTTTTTTTTTTTTGTGACAAGGTACTGCTAAATTGCTGAAGCTGGCCTACAACTTGTCAATCTTCCTGTCTCAGTCTCCTGAGTTGTTGGGATTACAGGTGTCTGTCAGCACACCGAGGCATGTATTATAATTTAAAATTTTTCAATTACTGTATTTCATTGTAGTTGGCATCCTTTTAAATAAATACATAGTCCTATGCATTTATTTGTTTTGTGATACTGGGGATTGAACCCAGGTTGTGTTCTACCACGGAGCTACATCCCAGCCCTTTTAATTTATTTATTTTACAGTACTGAAGACCGACCCCACAGGCATTCTACCACTGAGTTGAATTCTCAGCCTTTTTATTTTGAAATAGGGTCTCCTTAAGTTGCCCAGGCTGGCCTAAAACTTGGGATCCTTCTGCCTCAGCCTCCCAAGTAGCTGGGCTTTCAGGGGTGCACCACCATGCCCAGTCTGTGTATTTTACTTTATGCATTTGATCAATATTCTGAGAAAGGATCCATAAACATGGACAAACTGCCAAATGGCTCTATGGCACCAAAAATTTAAAACCCCTGATCTAAGGCTATGAAGGAAAAACCCTCTTACCCTCTCCTCTCAATTCCCAGTTGAGGATTGCCACTTCCAGAGACAGTCTGTGTATAATCAAAAGCAGTATGTGTGTGTGTCTGTGTATTTTTACATCTGTAACCTTTTTTATACTGCTAGGAATGAAATCCAGCACACACTCTACAAATAAACTACATCCTTAGCCTTTTCAAATTTTAGGACAGGTTCTTGCTAATTTGCCCTGGCTGGCCTTGCCTGTGTTCCTCCTGTCTCAGCCTCGTAAGCAACTGGAATTATAGGTGTGAGTCACCATGCCTGGCTTTTTTTTTTTTGCAGTGCT